AAAAAGAACTTACATACATGTCCTACAATCACAATCCTTGCTTTTTCATCTTATAAATCACTCATCAGCTTCGCAATGTTACACCAAGAAATTTCCTGATCAAAACAAGGCTAATTACAGAACTCCTAAACCCAATAATCTCGATGCATACATGAAAAGACAGACATACATTTGTAGATAAACTTGTAAACAACCATATCATTAAAGAGTAGCGACAAAATCCAGGAAAATTGAAATCAGCTACGAAGAAAGGAAGTACTTAACATCATGTTATCTACCAAAGAATTAATAAGACCCTCAAGTCTGAAGAGAGTTTTGGATGCGTCAACCTACTGGCACATGCATTGAACCCAGGAAACAGACATCACCCTTGGCTATTCTATTACAACCACTAAAAAGCTGTATTCCCAGGCAATGTTTGAATCACCCATCTTTCCTGCGCGAATATGTAAGGGAAGTTAGTTAGGAGGGTTAGCAGGTATAATCATATCTTTCTTCATAGAGCAGATAAAACAGATAATTGCAGATACTATCCCTAAGGTGTGTAGCCAAATTTTGAATGAACTTCATTTATTTTCAAAATCCCAAGTATACCTCATTGGAATTTATGTCTAATAAGGCAGAAAGAAATGTTAAGGACTTCTGTAATTTTAACGAGGCAAGTTTTTCTGTAAATAGACAAAACATAAAAAAATATCCTTTTGGAAAAGAAAAATGAAAATATGAAAGAGAATATGAGAAGCAAGATATGTTACTTTCTCTTCCTTCTATCAACTCCACTATTTCTTGGATCATTCTTCACGAAGGATCCGGAACCCATGCCATACTGCATAGGGGAAGGAGCTTGAGTAACAGCTGGAGAAGGAACTGGAGGAACAGATGTTATTGTTGTAGTCGGCAAAGATGGTGGGCCCACAGAAGCTGAAGGTGCACTACCAGGTTCAGGAAGTGGCTTTGGTAATATGTGCTTCAGCCGGTTGTTTCTATAGTTCTTCCAAAAGTAAAACTGTTGTCTATGTGCCAACTCCTATACGGGTAAGACCAAATTATAATTAATAAGAATGCAGCAGATCTTAGCAAGAAATCACCAAATTCTAGAAAATTACTTCAATAAAACATGATATTTGCACATTATGTCAGAATCAGGATAAGTGTTTCTATAGGCAATAATGTGACAGAATCTCCTGAAACCTTTTTTGTCGATACAATGATTCTTTCTCATTATTTTCCATTTAAAATAAATTGATATTTTTAGTTTATTTTGCCATTAGAAGTTGTATTACATTAATTGTTCAAAGGTAACTGTTGAGTATCGTTACTGTTTTTTTTCCTACAGAAAATATATTCTTGATTCTTAAATTAGCGAACCATACTGAATAATCGTGTTGCTTTATTTCAAGATATAGGGCAGAGGAATTAATTCTAGAACTGAATTTTGTCACAATGATTGTTAGTATGAGATAAATCTATTCTGCAGAGTAAAAATGCAGGGAAGATAAATGATCTCGCTAAAAACAACAATTTCATGACATGTTTCCACTTAGCATTTGTGTCTGATGTACTTACTAAAATACACAATGACAATAAATACATAAAATAACAGAGTATAAGACCTTGTTTGCAGGATGTGCCATTGCATTTCGAAAGTTCGCGTTTTGAAGAAGCTCAAGAAAGAAGAGACAATGAGGATACCTTACAACAAGCACAAAAAATGAGTAAGCTAAAAGTCTATGAGCAGAAAACATGACGCATTATGGCAATTCAAAGAACTAAGCTTTAAAAGTCAAAATGAGTTTTGTATCAAAAGTGCTCACATGATAAACTTTATGTACTCTGGCCTTTGCCAATATTGAAGATATTTGAGGTATCCAATAAATGCTTCATCTTCAAAATACCTATTTTGAGCCAAATCTGCAGCAATGTAAGGCAAAAATCGACTTAATAAAGATCCAGTAGAAGTTCATCATTTCAAGAATCCAACCATTGGAATTTCGGTCTAAAAACACTTCACACATTAGCAAATTACTCCATAATGTAGAAAATGTGAAATAATCCATGACTAGTGACTCAGGAAAAGAAAAGAACAAGAACAAGAAATATTGGGAATTCCTTGAGGTTGCAGGCTGAAAGAGAGAAACAGAGAAAAAAAAATATCCTGGCCCAAAACAAAAGAACAAAAACTCCAAGTCCAGAGGAATATGCACAGAAATACGCACAATGAATATAAGTAGGATTAGCAAGGCATTGAACAAATTCGAGCTCAAGCAAGAAGCGCTGGCGGCCATCATCTGGGTCCTTATACACGTTCTTTGGCCTGCAGTAGCAAAAAAATGAATTTTCACAATACATCGTATAACACCAATTTGTTTGGAAGAAGAAAAAGAAGAAAAAAAAAGAAAAAAACAACTAAGTGGGGGATTACGAGACTGGAAAATTTGTTGCTTCCGTTGGGGAGTCTTGATCGGACGCCATACTGAAACCCTAATTGATCAATTGAATACCTAAATGTAAAATTTCACGCCTAATGCTATAGAGATAGAGAGAATGCAAGTTTCGTTCTCTGAGCGTTCCACAACAGCCCTGTATAATCACTTCAGAGATCCAAATCAGTTAAAATAGCTCCAACACTCACCACATTTTCTACAGACTCTCGTTTCTTGAAGCTAAATGCCTACCTGTTCCGTACCTTTTCGGTTTGAAAGATCCAAAGAGAGAAGAAGTTAAGATGAAGTGAAAGGAAAAAGAAAAAATAAGAAGGTAGGAGGAAGGGAGGTAACAGAGAAGGAATCTTCTATGCTCAGTACCCTTCACCGTTAAATTGATTCAAAATTGAATATCAACCACATATTGTAAACATAAAAGAATGTGTCTCGTACTTTGTACTTGATTCGTATTAAAAAAACTTACTAGTACGCAACCCGCGCGTTGCGCGGCTTAATATTAAAATGATGTAAATAAATAATAATTTAATAGAAAAATATTCTTAAAAAATATCTATTGATATAACGTAGACTAAAATTTTTATTAATCCAGTAAATATACTTCCACAAATATAACATTAATATTGCATTAATAGTGGATGAGTTGTGTTCATTATCACCAACACTAATAACAATAATTAGACAATATAGATTCGTGACTATAGAAACAATAACAACGTATAATTGTTGTAACCAAAAAATACAATATATTTTTTTCTTAAAATTTTAAAAATTAAATTCACAAACTTACAAAAAAATGTGATATACTATGAAAAAAATTATTTATCACATTAATAACACTCCTTCAGAATTTTTTATAAAAATGTCTACGTGATAACATAATTCCATAAGTACAAAAAAATAAAGTCATAATTACTATTCTACAAATAAAGTAATATATTAATAATTAAAGTTAACATGTAAGAAGATGAGTAAAGTAAAATTTATAAATGTAAATTAAATACTTAAGAAAAAAAAATGACTTCTATCCGCATATATTTAATTTTAAATTAGGTCCACATATATTTCACTTTTTATTAACAAAATAATTAGCAACATTTCAATTTTTACAAAATAAGTGCGATGGTGATTAGAGAATGACGTGGAAGATTGATCATTTTTCGTAAAGTTATAAATAGATTAGGTAATTGCACAAATCAGTGGGAATTACAATTCAATGTAATTTTTAGCAACGTACATTGACAAAATTTTGATAAAGTAATAAGAATAAGACATTTAAATTATATTATAGAATATTAAAAAAAGTATTCTTGTGAAATTAACATTGTGATAGATGATAAGGAAAAAGTAGTTAATGCATTATAATAAGTTATGTTTAACTTTATCTACTACAACATTCAGTTGCGATAATATGCTTCTATTAAGAAAAATTACACGGTAACTGACACATTATCCTATTTTTATTTATAAACAGCATAATTGTGTATTTATTAAAAAAGAAAGGAGGTCAATTTTCACCAACTTTTACATAACCTCAAATTTAAGCTCAAATAAAATAAATGAAACAAATAATTATCGGACAATAAGATCATTTCGTCTTCATAGTCAAAACTACATTATCACTTTTTATCTCTCTTGTTGTTGAAATACTCACTCTTTCTGTTATTATTTTCTAAATTTTTTTATTTCACAATATTCTTATATTGTTTACCCATAAATTAAACTAAATTAGATGTTATGTCTGAACACTAAATCAATTAATTTTATGTTGTATACAAACTATGAAAATAAATGTTCACATCATTGTACAAAATACAAATTTATGTCTATACTAATCAATTATTTTTATGTTGTACACAAACTATGAAAATAAACGTTCACCTCATTGTACAAAATAAAAATTTATGTTTATACATATTGAATTATTTTTTATTATATACTTTAAAGTTGTAATTTTTATTTTCATAATATTATATTAAGAAAATAATCAAGATGATCACCGTCAATGTTAGATCAATAGCTAAAACTTATTTTTCATGAAATTTAAGATAATTGTAATTAACTTATTATTTAGAAATACAAAATTATTTCCGAATATCAATAATAAAATATTTAATAATAATAATAATATATAAGTCTAAAACTAAAAAGTAAAAGTGACAATTGTGATATATGATTAAGAAAAACAGTTGTTGCATTCGCAGTAAGTTGTAGGACTTTGTATGTCGCAATGTTTCGATAAAGATGACACATTATCGTCATTCTTAAGAAAACAATATACGATATACAAATAAAACATTAACAATGAAATTAACTTGTTATGGCTCATAAATTATAGTTGTATACTTTTGGACCCATAAAAAAAATTCATGAAGGCGAAACTTTATGCGCGCATGTTTTTAAGTGGACTCTTCAATATTTTCATAAATAAAACAAATTATACCAACTAAAAATAATAAAATACCAAAAACCAGTGTTTTCAATACCGTATCAGACCAACCGGTAATACTGGATCCCAGCCATTGGTACGGTATAATTGCACACATAATACCGGATTTACGGTTATACTGGTTTGTACGGGGGTCATACCGTAAATACCGAAAAAAACCGGTCTGAAATACTTGTCATCAAAAAATAAAAAAGATAAAATTTTTTTTATTAATTTAAAGACATAAAATTTAAATTGGTAGTTAGAATGTTTTATTTTTATCTCATTGGTAAGTTAAAATTAATGATTATGGTCATTTGTTTTTTTACTTTTTTACATTTGGTATTATACATTTTTATATAAAAATATATATATCATTATATTTGCTAGTCCGGTAATACCACCGATATTACCGGTCCGACCGGTAACACTACATACCGGTGGTTAGACCAGTATGGCCACCGGTACGGTACTTAAAACACTGCCAAAAACAACATGTAACGCCCTAATATATAGTTGAAAAATCATTTAAGAAATGAACCATATATATGCATTTTTCTTTTCAGCCTTCACAATCAAATCCATGAGTTGTCTCTTTGAAATGATGTTATATCTCTTTTTTTGTACGCTATCATTTGTGGATTTTGTTTTCTTTTTACAATATCAGTTATGAAATATTAGTCTACTGTTTATGTATAAAATACAGTTAATTTCATGACATTTTCGTTCTAAGATGTCTTATTTTTCTTTACTTTTGTTTTCCTTGTTTTCATATTCATGGTTTATTAGTAAAAGAAACTTCAATCCATATAGTTCTTGAAGTTTCTTTTACCCAAGTAAAGTCTATTCAACATTTTTGAGATCTATTTTATATGGATATGAAGGATCATCCCCAAACACTATAGATGATATTTAAAAAATATATATATACATATATTTTTTAGTTGAATAAATTGTATTATTTATGATAAATATAACTTCATTATTTTTACCTCTCTCTATTTATATTGCATTTGTTATTTAAAAAAAATATATTTTAAAATAAAATAAACAAAAGTATGAAATTTAGAAGTATAAGTTTGCACTGTTGTTAATAAAGAATGACTTGTTGACTTGACTAAACCTTACTCCAGCTCACATAAGAGTTTGTGAATGAGTAGACTTTTTACAATTTAAATTAAAAGATATTGTTTAGGACTCAATACAAATAATTTAATGGTTACTTGTAATTTCTTAGAATTACATAGAGATATAAAATAATATAATATTAGATTAGTAAGGGATGATTACATATTTTATTAACGTGTACGTAAATTCCATCATATTAGAGTATATTTGTCAAACGTGACATGGTGCTACTATTAGATATTTATATGTAAACATTGAACATGTGTATGTTAAAATAGACGACATAGAATTTTAAAAATGACATATAGAATCTAAAAGTTTATCTAATATATTCAATATAGATACCAAAATAAAAACTATAAAAATATTTATTTATTATATTACATGCAGATATTGTATTAGTTATGATTTTTTCTATTTTATCTTGAAATATTTCGAATATAACCGAAAAAATTAATATTATGTTCAAAAATTAAAAAAAAATTATAAAATAAAAAATAAAAAATTTACTTTAAAATTTATTTTAATGATTAATTAAATGAGATTGGTAATTTATTTTTATAAAAATAAAAATATATAAGGAAAGGAACTCATACTCACAAATGGGAAGAGAAACAAATAATAAGTGGGATATTGGAATGAGAATTCATAATAAATAATTATGTATAGTATTAAATATTATTTGTAACAAATAATTATGTCACTCACAAAGTATAAAAATATTTAACGAAAATTTGTACAATAATTGATTATGACTAAAATAAGTATCTATTTGTACTAAATAATTATGATATTGTTTGAATGATAAATAATAAGTATCTATTTATCTCATGGTCATATAAGCAGTTGAAGCATTTATTTAGCCAAAAGAAATTGGAGTTCAAATTCCAATACAATTATGAATACAAATTAGTTATACATATGTAACAAATAGTAGTATTTTTTTATTAGTAAATCATGTATAGAAATTGATGAAAAATTATTTCAATGTAGTAAATGTAGTTTTTGATGAAAATTTTACATAAAAGTTAGTAAAATTTATTTCTAGTAATTAATATAGTTTTGGAGGGAATTTTTAGCTCCTTCACTTTAATATATATATATAGATTATACCTTTACTTTAAATTTAAACTTAAATTTAATTTAATTAATTATAAAATATTAATTGTATTTACTTTGAAGTACATTTATTTAGCTTATTTGTTTAACAATCATACAATTACAAAAATATATGATCACATCCTCAAGTTTTATATTATTACATATCATCTAATTATACGAATTAAAATTCTTCTTGTTCTTCAAATTATCGACGTCGCCGGCATCTCTGCCGCCATTTAACTTCGCAAAGAAGGCCACTCCGTCGTCTACGAGCGGGCAACCCAGGTTGGGGGGACATGGGCCTACACACCCGAAACAGAGGCCGACCCGATGGGACTCGATCCGACCTGAAAAGTCATCCACTCCAACCTCTACACATCGCTGCGGACGAACGTGCCCCGGAAGGTCATGGGTTTCCGGGCCTATCCATTCGTGGCTAGCGGGAAGCCCGAAAGAGATCCGAGGAGGAATCCGGGTCATGTTAGGTTTTGGAGTATTTGAGAGATTTTTTCGACGAGTTTGAGCTCGTTGAGGTGGTTAGGTTCGGGAGTGAGGTGTCCCATGTGGGGTTTGTGGAAGGTCGGAATTGGTCGGTGAGATCGAAAATTGGGAATGGGGAATGTGGATACGATGAGGTGTACGACGCCGTGGTAGTCGACAACGGGCATTATACGGAGCCCCGGGTTGCAGATATACCTGGTAACGTCTTCTAGCCCGGTTCATGTTTTATTGTCTATGGCTGGCCGAAAAATTGGAGCTTTATGTGTAATTTTGCTGTTGAGCTTGTCTTTGTTGAGTAATTACTGCTAAAACATTTGTGTCTGTGTAGTCTGCCTATAGAAAAGTAGATCTTTTTACTTTTTGATATGAAGATCAGGTGAGTAGAGATTGATTTTAAGTCAATAAAGTATGCACAAATGAATGTGCTTATCTTCATCAGCTGCAAAAGTTGAATAGTTAGGATCAACATAGGGTCAAGTGAGTAGAGATAGATTTTTGGAAGAGAGATTTGACTGTATTAATAGATAAAGTCAATTGGTCTGGACCTGCTATGCTCACTGGTCTTCCTTTCCTACGGGCCTTCTGGACCTCCAGTCTCTTCCACAGTGTCCGGCTAGGCGGCTTTCTGGACATGAATAAAAAGTCCAGTTGGCCTGGACTTACAACACAGGGGCATCTCACGAAGGAGAATTGCATCGCGGCATACCTGCTGATTTTATGATCTTTAGTATTCAACAACAGGGCCGTTAAGCTACCTTTTTTTTTAATTACAATAATACGATTTGTTTTCAACTCTGCTTTATGCTAATATGTTTAGTAAATGGAGCAAAACTAAAATAACTAATGGTATATGATGGGTGATCATAGCGTGAGTAATATACTATTGTTCCCAAATCATGGACAAGAGGATGTGTTTCCCATTTTGTTGATAGTAGTGCAAACTGCAAATGAAAATCTGCTTTCTCAATTTTACATTTCAAATGTTATCAATTAGGTACCCATATTATTGCTCCACATATGGCAGGTGGTTGCTGATGTAATGACCCTTTTGGCAGAAAAGACTGATATGATCACATTAGATATTTGTTCATCTCTTCTGCCACTGTTGACAGGACTTGTTGAAAGCGATATGGATAGGTATCGATGATGATTTTGGTCTTACTCGTCCAACGAAGATGAATTCTTCTGGTATAGATGATGATTTTCTTTCTATTGGAAGAACAACTGTGGCTGATGAGGATTCAGGGGCCTTCATGAATGCTCTGTTGAAAGTGATAAGATTCCAGTTTTACTCTGGATTGGAAACAAGTAGTGGATTTTTCACTCAGAACCGCTATGCGAACTCCTATCAAGAGTCCCATGTGTCATATATGTTGATTAGTTTTGAATCTAGAGAGAACTTGGTTTCATATATGTTCATATATTCCCGTTCTTTCACGAATGACTAAATTTCTCTAGGCTCCCTTCTCGATGGAATATTGACAGGTCATTCACTTTTCCCATTTTTCATTTACAGGCAGGGATATGCAACTGAGAAGCAAAAAGGCTTTTTAATTGCTGAAAAATTGGATTACTTACAGTCGAAGTTGTTACAAAGATTTTTTTCCTTGTTTCCAAACCGATGGGTAGAGTTGGTGACTGGTTAAATGAGGTACTTGCAATAACTCATTATTTGATTTTTTTCCTATATGCCAGCCTCTAAGTCTTTTCATCGCTGTGGGCCTGTGACCAAGAGATTTTTTTACCCTGGACTTATGTCAGATATATAATATGATGTGATAAGGAACGTCTCATAGTCTATTATGAGATCCTTACAAGGATGTTGGGTCTTATTCTCCAAAACTTAGAAACTTTATTAACAATTTCTCAAATTGCAGGTACTTTGTGCTTCACATTAGGAAAGCATGCGAAAAAGTGGACTTACTGGGGAAGGAGTTACTGATGATTGTTCTTGGTATAATAATCTCTATTCTGGCTTCAAATGGTGATATAATGCGAACTTTGGTTTAGCGATTTTGAGAAACTGGTGATATGGCATACTTTTTCTGTTTCCTTGGATTTTTTCCAGCAGAAGGAAGAACATGTCAAGAGCCTATTATTGTTGTTTTACTCGATTGCCGACTTTCCTAGTGTTTGTAAGATGATGAGATTTTGACGGATGCTAGTGTTATTAATGCTATTTGGCATTAACATTATTCATTATTGTTTTTGTTGTAGTTTGTTTGATTTTCCATTTGAGTATCATAACTTCAATGTTGGCTAGTCAAGGAAATTGAGCTTCATTGGCTAGGGGTGGGCGCGGTCTGGGACAGTCCGGGACTTGACCTATCCCGGTACTTGTCCCGTTTTTATGAACAGGTCCGGGACGAGCCTTCTTTGACTTATACATTTAGGCCAAATAAATGGGTAATGGTATATTTTTTTAATTTTTTTGGGCTAGAGGATTGGTGTTTAACAGTTACAAATACAAAATTTGAACTGAAACAAGAAGCTCATTAATTATTAACTATAATACTAACATAAATATAATAATAATGTATAATATATATATATATGTATATTATACATTAATTAAAATGAATACGTGAGACACAATCTTAGCCACTCATTTTGTCTAGATCAAAATCAATTAAAATATACATTAATTAAATAATAAAATAATTATTAGTTGACTTCGGCGTTGACCGTTGACTCCAGCGTTGAATTGTTGACTTCCGGTGAAAATCATTGACTTCCGGCGTTGACCCGTTGACAACTAACCTAACAGAAAGAAAGAAATAACCTAGCAATAAAATACAACTAACCTAACAGCATCAAACAACTAACCTAGCAGCAAGAAAGAAATAACCTAGCAACAAGAAAGAAATCGACAGGATCTCTGGTTGGTCGTATAGACATCTTTCTTTCGATGGTCGGCTTGCGCTGATCAAGAGCACTCTTAGCTCTCTTCCGATTCACTTGCTTATGGTCCTCGACCCCCCTAGGTTTACTCTTGACGAGATTGACCAGATTATGGCTCGTTATTTCTGGGGTTACGAGGACGGTTCTGGGAGGGGAAGACGTACCCACTGGGTGAGTTGGGACTCTATCTGTCGCCCCCTCCCCGAGGGTGGCCTTGGCATCCGCCGGCTCAGGGACATTGTTACAGTTTTCTCTTACAAGCTGTGGTGGCGCTTCAGGGAGGGAAAGTCGTTTTGGGATCAGTACCTTCGCGGCAAGCACTGCCCTAGACGTGCCAACCACCCTTGTTGGGTGACGACAGTTGATCATGATAGCAGACAGTGGCGGCGCCTCACTACGGTCGGTAGGCGCGCCCAGGATCACATCTTCTGGGTTTTGGGCGAGGGCGTGGTTAGTTTCTGGGATGAGTGGTGGGTAGGTGATAGGCCGTTGTCTAGGGATAGGCAGGTGTCGCACTCCCCCTACCTGCTTGTGAGCGACTTTTGGACGGATGGGTCGTGGGATAGGGGGAAGCTAGATAGGGAGTTGGGCTCTAGGGCGGGTTTTAGCGAGCATTTATTAGATCAGATCCAGCAGATTCCCATCTCGGGGGACGGTTCGGATGGCATGAGGTGGAGACTTACATCATCGGGTGTGTGTTCTACTACCTCGGCTTGGGAGCAGATCAGGCTAAGAGATCGGCCTAATCTTCTTTTCGGGGCCATCTGGAGCGACCTTTTCACCCCTACCATTTCGATGTTCCTTTGGCGCCTCCTTTTGCGCCGGATACCCGTGGATACTGTGTTACACGCGAGGGGGATCTCTTTCCCCTCTCGGTGTGTGTGTTGTTCTGAGACTAGACGCCATGAGACCGAGACCTTTACCCACCTTTTTCTAGAGAGTGAGATTGTGAGGAGAGTGTGGGAGTATTTTGCCACTTGGACCCATATATCCCAACCCACCACAGACAATTTCTTTGAGCTCCTGAGTTTTTTCTCACAGAGCACACACCTTAGACACGTGGGCTTCCTCATTCCTTGTCTGATCCTTTGGTTCACCTGGACAGAGAGGAATAGTGCGAAGCATAGGGATATTACTTTTTTGTTTTCTCACATTGTTTTGCAGGTAGAGAGACACATTTCACTCCTCATAGCATTGAGCAGGCTCACGGCCCGAGACTGGACAGGCTGCACGCCGCCACTCCGTTACATGGTGGCCCCCCCACCGCCTGTTCGGCCTCCTCGGGCCAGAGCTGTTGTTTGGCTTCGACCTGACTCTCCATAGGTCAAGCTGAACACTGATGGCTCGTTTGATCGTCATACCGGAGATTCTGGAGGAGGAGGCTTGATTCAGGACCACAGCGGCGCCCTCATCACCACCTTCCACGCGCCCCTTCAGGCCTCCTCGAGCTACGATGCAGAGATTCAGGCATTACAGATCGGCCTTCAGATTGCTGTCCACCTCTCTAGCCATATTTGGATCGAGTTAGACGTTGCGGCTGTCGCCACCCTTTTGACTTCGGGCCACCAGGGCTCGTGGCAGATTCAGCACCCGCTTATGCGTATTAGAGCTCTACTCCGGTCTGTCCATCACAGGATCATGCACATTTTCCATGAGGGGAACAGACCTGCTGACTACCTTGCCAGCCTTGGCGCCACCATACCAGACACATATATATTTCAGACCGACACTGCTCCACTCCGCCTTCGCATGCTTGTTCGGATGGACCAGCTTGGATAACCATCGTTTCGCTTTCAGTAGATTAGGTTTATTGTTCTCATTAGATAGGATCTTTATTCCGAGCATCTGTTAGCCCGAAGACAGACTTTGTATTGTTTTTTCTGGTTTCTTTCATTTTTCTCTTTTTTGTTTTGTTTTTGTTAGTGACACTCTGTAGACTGTTGTAGACTATTGTACGTTGATATTTTGGGCCCCGGTTTTGAAAAGATAAAAAACCTAGCAACAAAAGACAGCTAACTTAGCAGCAAGAAAGAAATAACCTAGCAACAAAAGAGAACTAACGTAGCAACATCAGAAAAATAACCTAGCAACTACAGAGAACTAACCTAGCAACTACAGAGAACTAACCTAGCAACTACAGAGAACTAACCTAATTGGGGGCTGGTACGGGTTTTAGCGAGCAGTTATTAGATCAGATCCAGCAGATCCCTATCTCGGGGGACGGTTCAGATAGCATGAGGT